AGGAATAATCTTGCACTGCATGACAGGAACCTGGCTGCAGGGTGCTGTGGGGGAGGCACACTCCATCCCATGCTCTCCCCTGCTGCCCCAGCAAGGGGAAGCACGGGCACCTCAGCAGCATTTCATGGAATCTGGTGTGCTCTGTAACACACAGTGGGGAAAGCATATCCAGCTCTGTGGGGTTCCTGGAAGGTTGGCAGTGTTGGGCGCAAGATCGGCAGCCTTAAAACACTAGTTCATTCTTTACTATTGTTTCTGTGTTTGCTTACCAGTTCTTACTGAAGTAAAAAATAACAACACCGTTCCTTGTGATGGAACTCTGTTAACCACATGTCAGCTCCCACTTGACCAGATTCCCTGGGTGCTGGGTACAAGAAGAAGAGATGAAGGACTGACTGGACATACTAGTAACATCTTGAAAAATATAGAATATTAATAATAAAGCATGCCTTACTTGCAGGTTCAGGAATTCCATAATGTCTTGTGAACATGCGCAAAGTGCTACAAGTAGTTCTTTTACAGATATGAGAGATTTTTATTTTTTTTTTCCCAGCAACAATAAGTGCTTTGAACTCTGCTGGGGTGTTCTCATTTACAGACAAGAAAGTGACCTAAATAATTTTGTCCTTTCCGGTACATAGAAGGAACATCTTACATCTAGGGATTTGAATACATCCAGTCCGGGAAACATTATAAAAAAATGGGTTGATTCAGGTCAAGCTCTGTCACTGCTTTCAGCAGCAGTTCGGATACTGTGTTCAGATAATACTCCAGCAAGACCTGGATCTTCTCCAGTCTTCTTTTGAGAGAGTAATAACCAAGACATCACCCTCAGCTGACAAATGCAACAGGGAACAGATTGCTATCAGCATAAGAGGAAGGTTAGCTCTGACAGATACAGGACTAGACTCATCTCACAGAGATGCAAGATTTCTGGTTAGTAGAAACATTTAAGTCATACTTCTCAGGAGAAAAGTGACATGAGAGATCACGTTATCATGTAACTAACTGGGTGATAGGCTAGGTCTCCAAAGCTTAAGGACTTCACCTTAAACTCCAAAAGGCAGCTGGAGTAGACTGATAGCTATATCCCACTGGGCTCCAAAGAGCTTGTATTGAGACAAATGGGAAATTGCCTCTTTCCCGCAATCAGTCTGTGTCAGAGGGAGATTTTCCAGCTTCTGGTTCAGATGTCACAAGCAGGGAGCAAACAGATAGCTCTGAAAAGTTTCTATGTGTTAAAGTGATAAGATGAAGGAACCCCAGTTCTCTTCATAAAGATATGGAGTAGTCAGGATAAGAAAGCTCTCCCAGTCTTCAGGCTTTAGCTGTGAAAATTTCTCAAAAGGTCCAGGGAAAGGAGGTGAAAGGTCTGGAAAACAAGAGCAGGACTGCTGAATGATTAATTTAAAAGCTTACTTATGCCTTGAGGAGTAGGGGGAGAACCTGGTGTCATTAATGGACACACTAACAGCAGCTGTCTTTCTGACCCACCAACATGTCTCCATGATGGACGAATGACTTGGTGTTTGATGCTACATTCAAATCCTGCCTACCATGTCAGCTCCCAACTGAAATGAAAAATATCTCCCAATGTTTGTGCTAGTTTTTGCAACTTGTTTCAGAGCCACCTCCAGTCATTCGGTTCTGGCAACCTACTGTTCTGTCTAGGGACGAGGAAGAGAAAAATGCAAGCTCTTTCATCCTGAAGAGTGATGAAGCACATGTTTTCTGCGCAGAAGCTTCTGGACAAGAAAGCTCAAGCATGAGAAGTTCTAACACAGCTACAGCAGAATGCACAACTACTCTAAGTTTGGCAATGGGAAGTCTTGGAAATGCTGTGGGAAAGCACTTCTAAACTTGGAATGAAAGCTGCAAATAGACCCACTACAGAACCTATATCCAGCATGCCCAAATGTTATTAAGGATAAAGAAAGGAAAACAGAGTACAAGTAATGTAAGAAGGGACTGAGGTTTCCATTGGTGTCTTGTCTAAGGAAATCACTGACCACATTAGAGAAAATAAAAAAAATTCAATTTAATGACTTGCCCAGCAGTAAAATCAAAGGCAGGTGCTGGATATAACAGGCAATATTGGTCAAACTGTTTCTTTCTGCACAGCACTCAGTAAACAGAGTCACCACTATTGAGTTCTAACCTCTTGTCATGCAGCAACATTGAGTCAACAATCCGCTCTCATGGCTTAATGCTTTTGATGTTTACTTTGTTCTTTCTATAGTTCAAAAGAAAGCACTAATGCACCAGCCCTCTTACCAAATACAATCTTAATCCCAGAATCCCGAGCCTTTTGCTGTTGGCCAGTTAAGTCTGTTAAGACGAAAGGATTTGATCAAGCTTTACATAACAACACAGAAGTTAAATCCAGCAAAGAGAGTTCTTTTTATCTGTACTGCTCAGACAGCTAAGGGGGGGAAGAGGGAGAGGGGGAAAAAAAAGGTAATGAACTTGGCAATGTAAAACAAAATAAGGAATTCAACTATTTATCTTATTGCCACTTAGTATTTTCAGTGAGTCTTCTAAAGAACTCAGATTTATTCTCCAATAAAGTCTCCAAGCGTGAAGGCCTTTCCACTAACCCAGAAAAACTGTGGTACCTGCTGTGCTTTTTTAAAAATCTGAGAAATGTTTCTTTTTCATTTTTTTCCATCCCTAGTGTGTATTTATGAAGACAGGGTATAGTTCATCAATTAGACACTTGCTTGGTACTTGGTACAGCTGGATTCAGGTCTTTTGTTTGCCATTCATGTCTTTGGTGAGCTTAGCCCAATCAACCATGTTTCAGCGAGTTACAACTATGTCTCTGAGACTAGCTATCAGTGATATTGATATTATCTTATGACACATGACTGTATAATCATGCAACATTTGTGTTACACAGTACATACACAAAGATTGTGAAGTAGCAAAATAAAGGCAGATCAACTATTTTAGATGGAAAGATTAATTTACTTTCTAGAATATTCATTATTTTCACATAAAACATTTCTATGCAGAAAAGAGCTATGACAATGGTTATCTTGTACCTAAGCCACACAGAACTCAAGCCATGCCTTAACAAAGGTCTCAAATAATGTTTCAGCTTTGCTTTATGCTATCATCACAGTTTTATGTTAGTACTATCACAACAATCCAAAAAATATATGCCAGTAAAAATTATGAAGTTATACAAAAAGAGTGAAAGCATCTTGTCTTAACACAATGCTTCAAGTACCATTTCTAATTATAAGAAGAATTTCAGTATCTCATTCAAGAGGGAAGTGGCTAGCACTCTTCCTAGTATGGAAAGCATAGCCTGGAGATCTGAAAGCAGAAGGGATGAAGAACAAGCCTTGGCAATCTGCACACGTTGCCTGAGCACTGGGTGAGTATAGCTACCTGCCTCCCAACTGGAAAGATGCCACAGGTCTTCCCCAGTGGCAGCACAAATAGAAAGGACTACCTGCTGCTATCTAAATCTTGTCTTCACTACTCAGCTACTTCATAAGAAATGAGACGCATCAGAAGTAACAACGTAAAACTGCTGACTGGAATTACAGTTGGCTAAAAGGTTTTACACTCTAATAAAAACAATCCTGCTGCTGTCTAGTTTGGAAATATATAATGGATATTGTGTTTGCTATGCAAGACAATTCTACACAACAAAGTAAGAAATAATTAGATGCAAGGAAAGGTAGAACAGGACACAGAAAAATGAAATTATTAATCTCGCTGACATTTAATATCCTGTGTTAAGTAGTTTCTCCTATAATTCTGAAAATTAAAAAGCTGTCTTCTAGTAGAGTTATGTCCTACTAGGAGCAGAAAGAAAAACACTGATGAAGTTAAATACTGAAACACTTAACAAACACTGACTCCATCCTGGCGAGATTATCTTGCTTTGTGTTTATCTGTAGCCTACAAGCACCAGCTGAAATGGAGCTCCTATGTTACAGGCATATACAAGGGAACACCCTTAGTAAACTACATACATGATATCCACACATACATGGGATTTAACACATCATGTTAACACATTTCACATCTAAGGAACTGGAATACAGAAACTCTTAATATAAAGAATCTTTCAAGTTCTGTTTAGACAGAAGTCTCTACCATCAGAGACAAATGACTGAATTATAAAAGGACAGAAATTTCCAAGTGAAGCTTTACATGGTTTGTTGCTCTAAATAAACTGGACATATTGTTTCCACTAGTCTTTAACACAAACCCAGCACACAGCCCATGAAACCTTGATGGGGCTCTGAGAAATCAGTCCTAGTTGGAGATGTCCCTGTTTATTGTAGAGGGGTTGGACTAGATGACTTCTAGACGTCCCTTCCAACCCAATACATTGTGTGATTCTATGAACTGTAGTTCAAAGTGCTTCAGATGTGTCCTCTGGCACACAGAATACAGTGTCCATACTCAAGGTTCCCAAAGGCCCTTCCCACCACAACAATGACTGCATCTCCATTTAAAAGAGAGGCCTGATCACAAAAGAAGAGATGAGATGAGCCTTGAAAAGAAGTAGTTATCCAAGACAATAATGATTTAATTAATATTCAAGAGAAATGTATTGAGTAAGTGTTTCTGGCCTGTGTTAGAAATAAATGCAGAGTTTCTCAGTCTGTTTTATGTAACACAGAAAAGTGTGCAGCATCTCACAAAACCCAGTGCAAACACTTTCAGTAATTGCATTTACCACCTCTACTGGGGACAGTGATATTTACTACTGCTATCAATGCCAAGAGAAATACCTGGAAAAAAACGGTGACACCTTGAATTTAAAACACCTGGTCTTTTATATGACTGGATGTCTTTTTTCTATACTAGGAGGACAGTGATAGAAGATGCAGAAACAGTACCCTATTCCCATCTTGACCGATTTTCCAGGAAAATGACCCATCAGTATACCAAGAACTGCATTCTCACACTGACCTCTTGACTGACTTACTCCAATATCCCTTAATATTAACCAAGAAATTTTGTTCTTTAAATACCTTCTAGATGAAAGTGTTCATCACCAATACTGTCTCTGTAGCCTTCCCCAGATAAATCCTGTTAAAAAACAAACAAACAACAACAACAAAAATTAATGACAAATATACTCTATACAAAGTGTTGTTAAGAATATGGATTCATTATCACCAGGATTAATTTAAAACACTAAGAAAAGCACAGGAGTTGCTTTCCAGGAAATAAGTCAATCCCTTTATTAATGATAGTCAATGAATTTGGTGCTAATTTACAATGCTCTGGACCTACTTTAGGACAAAAATGTAACAGAAATTAATAGATTGTACAGGGGAAAGAAAAAAAAAGTGTTCATATTCAAATCCTTTTACAAAGTAGATTTATATTTAGCATTTCAACATTCTGTCAATCAAGCAAGATTTAAAAAAATTCAAATGGAAATGATAAAGGACAAATAAGGCTTTCACTACTCACAGAGGAATATTATCGCTTAGTTCTACCAACAAACAGAAAACTTCCAGATGCCAGAGGGTCACCCAAGAAAAGCTGACACCAGACTTTGAAGAGCTGACTGATCCTTCAGTCCCAAAATTAATGAAATTTTGTCAGACCCAGTACATTTAGAGCAATACAGAAGCAAATGCCATAGATAGACAGATGATCTTATCTCAGAACCCAAAAAAAACACATTTCCCTAATGCTGCTGAAGTAAGATTTAGAGCTCAACCCACTTACAAAGACCCTGAAGAGTATTCTTACTCTCTGATTATCAGACCCTTCCAGCTCCCTCCCCCACTTCAGCTAAACCATAAGCAAAGATACATATCCTTATGTTTAGCCTTCCCCCATTCATTCCAAATGCTCTACCATCACCATAATGCCACTGACCTTACATTATAGTCTGACCCCCTAGATTCTCTGCAAACACTCTCAGCCATTGATTAATAATTTTGATGATAAAGAAGGATATGGCCCTAAAAAGCTGGTGTGCTGCACTCCTGGTCATTTTAAATTCACCCACAAAAACACACCACTGAGCCAGCTTCTCAGCGTCAGCCAGTGAATTGGAAGTTGACAGTACAGAACTTTATATACAACATAAGAATAAAAGAATAATCCATGAAAAATAATGTCTGGTTGTATTAATTAGCTTTATAGTTAAGTAATTTTATCACAATAAAAGGTGACAGAGGTTCATTTCTGCCTTCCACATGCCCAAATGCTATTCTTTGAGATTAGTTATCAGAAAATAAGACACAAAAGTGTATCTTACAAATTCTTCAGTACCAATTTCTGCAACAGCATTTTAAAAAACAGATTTCACAAACACTACTGGATAGGTAGCCCAGAGAGCCTGAAAATATTAATCTGTTCATGAGCCGATATCCTGAAACAAAGTTAGGACTCATAGGCCGAACGGCTGTGAGAAATGCCGGCAACCTGGCCTGTAATGCTGGGGTTCTGCACAGCACAATTGTGTTATAAAAGCTGTCATTCTGGATTTTGCTTCCCAAGAAGGAAATTACAAAAACTATTTTCTTTCCTCGAGTTTTTGTTCCAGTAAAAAATAACTTTTTTTTTTGAGTATGTGCTAATTAATATAAATCATTGCCTTAAGAATTATGGATGAAATGGGCAATGTATTAAATGAAGCCATTAAATGTTGCCATAACTTATGATATTCCTGCAAGAATATGGTCTTAACAGGGACTTACAAAAAAAGTTAGTACATTTTTTTGGACCAGATTCCTTCATGTCACCATTTCCCATGAAGTTCCGAGAGCACACCTCTGACTGCTCTCATAGATGGTGAGATAGACAGAAGTGACTACACAGGCATATATGGCACCTCTGTTCTCTCCCACATTGTTAAATATTTAATAAATGTTTTGTTTATTGTGTTTATGTTTTTTGTTTTGTTTTTGTGTTTTTTACTAAGTTCAGAATGCCTGCTCCCATGTAAGAAAAATATTTTCTCTTAATCTGATCAGCAAATACACAATGAGTTGGTATGATCTCACTCGTGACACACGTCTGAGGAGAACACTACTGAGCTGGTAGCTTTCATCTCTTAAAATTTTAGCAAAGTAAGCAGTGCATCCCTGTTAAAATGATGTAATTAATCTAATCCTTTACAAAACCCCAAAGTCATTAGTTTTTATGGTTTTCAAAAGATACCACTTTAAAATGAGCATACATTTGTTGACATAATATGCATCATCAAGTAACTTTACGGAAATGAGTGAAAGACAGAAGTGTAAAACAGCAAAGTAAAACACTGCTATTCACTAAGCCAGCTTTCTTATGGTCTCACTTTCAATCATTACATGGATCTTACGTAAAGCTGTTTTATACTCCAGTCCAGTTTCACTCCTTCTCTAGCTCCTAGTTATTTAAGTTATAGTAGCTTAATGCAAGCAAATTTCCATGTTTCTGCCTTAATCCAAATATTACAAATTACCAAATTCTAGAAAAGTTTCTTTTATTATGTTGAACCATAATGTAACAGTTAACTGCCATATAAATTGACAAAGCATCTTGAAACTGATGAGTATCATTTGAACATTTTAGTGATGCATTTAAGCAGTGCTCATCTGTGTAAGATTACAACATGCTTTATCCTGATAGATGTGTATCAGCAAAAGGTGCAGGGAAAAAAATGAAGGGAAAAAATTCATCTTATAATTAATTCTTCTGTCAAAAAAAATTGCAAGAGAGTTAACCTGAATCTTTTTAGCACCACTGAGACAGATGTCACAACCTAGATAAATACTGAAATGCACCTGCCTGAGAAAAAGATTCTAGACAGTGCATCTAAAGTCACACTGAACAGAAAAGTACAAAACTGAGCGAGCATTTGAGAAAACAATTCTGACTACAGCTCATACTGCATAGTGGAGTATTATCCCAGTAACCTGTACAAATTGCCTCAGTGTGGATCAAACAGTGCACCTACTCCCACTACCCAAATTCAGAAAACGTTTAGAGCAAAATAAAAGGGTAAATGTGTAAGACACAACTTGCAGCTCAAGAAACTCTGGTGGGAAGTGAATGCTACAGCCAGGTTGGAATATTTGACACTGGGGAGCACTGTGTTCGAGCACAAAGGAAACAGGGGCCAGAGGGGCTGAAAACCCCAGGAGTGGCTCCGTCGTGGGGCCTCCCTGTGCCCCACACAGCTGCAGGAGCCCAACCCGTGGCAGGAGCGGGGCCTGAGAGCACAAAACCAACAACATTTAGGTCATAGGTAGTTGTATATCACTGTCCTGACACCATGTTTTAAATCACAACACTGCATTTTCAAACTGGGACACTGAGTCATGAAACAACCAAAACCAGATGTACCATGTGAAATACTACATAAATGAGGTCAGCAAGCACTTCAAAGAATAAAGAAAAGAAACATTTACACAGTAGAATTATTCCAGCATGCTGTTTTCTATAGGTTGCTAAATAGGAACCCATCTTGAGTAAGTGTCTCTACCTCACTAGGAGTTTCCAGATTAAGTAAATTGGCCTCTGTTAGCTACCAACACAAATCACAGAGAATGACCAAGATTCAGGCTGAAACATCTGCTTCACAACTCCCAACAGCCAGCTGCCGGGCCTGGGTAGAAAGGACCTGTGTCCCATATATCTCACTCTGATAGGTACTGCTTTACTCAGCTCAGATTTAAGAGGGTGTGGGTGTTAGGAAGAGTTAATTAGTGCAGCTCCCTCAGAAATGCTGCTGAGTATATACACACATGAGGAAGAAAAACAATCTTTAAAAGCTCCCACACCCCAGGGTTTCTATTCAGCTAGTTACAAGCCAGGCAGTCATCACTTGCTTCCCACTTTTGCCATACAGTCAGAATCCAATGAATTCTTACTCACTGGGAATTTATTTATTTTAACCTCAACCTCAGTCCTAACCACCCTATGCAGTTTTCTTACTGATACAAGTCTCTGGAAACTAAATGCCAGTCACTCACTCTGGGGCTTTCAGCTATTGACTCCCTTTTCATCAGCTATCTAAAAATGCCACCATCCAAATCCTCGCACACCGTTCTGCCTATATCATTTTATTCCTTTGATATGCCTGCTGGCTCCCTTTCTTCTTCTACATCAAGGTTAAGCTCCTAGTCTTCACCTTCCAGGCTCTGCACAATTGTACTTGGATTCACATTTCCCAAGTTCTACCTCCTAGCCCCTATGCCAACATTCCTTTAACCTTGGCCATCAGTATGACTCTTCCTACCTCTCCTGGCTCTGCCTTTCCATGCTGCTCTCCACAACCCCAGGCAGCCAGCACGAAGGAGCCAAAGCTACAGAATGCAAACACAGCGTGTATTTTAGCAAGCCACATTTAGACTAACCTGGCATTAAAACACTTTTACTTTTGGTGTAAGTAGAGACAGCTACATCCATGGATGTATTATGTATGAGAGACATCAAAGGATAACCTTTGATTTAGGCAGGTTATCACAATAACAAACACATTTGTAAAGTTCAGATCCCCCTACTCCATGTATTACATCACAGTCAATATTGTGTTAATTAACATTTTTTCTAAAAGGTGTTGCTCTACTCAAGTAGAAACAAGTTGCTTTGCCTCTCCTTCGTCAGACATCTCATTACAATTCTTTGATTTAGCCTTAAAATATAAATTTTTCAAAGTTTTTGTCAGAAAATATGCACACCCTTCCTGTTTCAGTGAAGTTCTCATCATGGTTATCATATCCATTACCTTCCCCAAGTAAAACACATGGAAAGTGACAAACTGTTAATCAAGAAAATGTTCCTCCCTATTTTTAACCATCTGATTGAAACATGTTTTTTTCTCTCTCTTTGTTCTCATACTGATGCAATAAAGTTCCAGTACTTTTGGCAAGAGCAAAGTTGAAGAAGCGCATTTCACAACAGGCCTGAAAGGGATAAGATATGTGGTCAATCTTGCAGAGTAGATTCTACAATGGTTTTAAAGCAGCTGGCAACAAGAATGCTGTGTCACCTATGCAAAAACTTCCATACTTGATTTGGACAAAAAACAATTCCAGACAAAGAGAAGTTCAAGAGAGCACGGATGTCCTTTGGTCTTTCAC